GGTCCGAAACAATGGAGGACGGGAGACCATGCAGACGGTACACCTCCCGAAAGAATAACTGGGCCACATGGACCGCATCTGTGGTCCGCCGGCAAGGAACAAAATGCACCATCTTCGAAAACCTATCCACGACCACAAAAATAGAATCGAACCCGCGCTGAGTGCGTGGCAAACCAAGCACAAAATCCATGCTAATCGCGCTCCAAGGCCGTGAAGGAATAGGAAGCGGTCGATAAAGGCCCGCATTCGTAGCAACCCCCTTGGAGACATGGCACACACGACACCGCTCGACAAACCGGCCGACGTCCCGACGAAGTGAAGGCCAAAAATAGGAACGGCCTACAAGCTCAACAGATCTGTCCCGTCCCACGTGGCCGGCACCATGAAGGTCGGAAATCAACTTCTGGCGTAGGCTGCAAGCCGGGATACAAAGCCGAACTCCCCGAAAGAGGAACCCGTCCGCCAGCAAGTACCCATCGACCGGACCCACTGCAAGGCGCCCGAAAATCGGGCCAAAGAAAGGATCCTCGGCATACAACTCGCGTAGCACATCAAAGCCCGTAACAGAAACGCGCATATCGGTCAGCAAAAGCACGCGTCGACTCAATGCATCAGCCACCCGATTGGAAGCACCGGACCGATGACGGAGGACAAAAGTAAACTGCTGCAAGAAGGCCGTCCACGAGGCATGTCGAGCCGAAATATTAGCCTGTGTGGCTAAGTGGCGAAGAGCCTCATGGTCCGTATATAAGATGAACTCGCGGTGAAAAAGATAGTGCCTCCAATTGCGAACCGCCCGAACCACGGCATAGAACTCGACGTCATACGTACTGTAGCGGGAACGCGGGCCCGATAATTTCTCGCTAAAAAACGAGATCGGTCGACCATCCTGACTGAGAACAGCTCCAATGCCTACCTTTGAAGCATCACAAGAAAGCTCAAACGGCTTCGAAAAATCCGGCAGCACTAGCAGAGGGGCGGAGGTCAACTTGCTCTTGATAAGAACAAAGGCATCCTCGGCAGCCGGGGTCCACTCAAATGTCGTGCCGGTCAAGCAATCAGTAATCGGAGCTGTAATCGTGCTAAAATGGGAGATAAAGCGACGATAAAAGGAAGCGAGCCCGTGAAAACTCCGGGCCTCAGTGAAAGTCGTAGGAGTAGGCCAATCACGAATGGCAGCCACCTTCCCCTCATCCACACGAATACCCTCAGCAGAGATAATAAACCCCAAAAACAATACTGAATCAACCAGGAAAAAACACTTACGAGGAGCAGCAAAAAACGACTCAGCGCGCAAAACACAGAGCACCTCCCGGACATGCTGTAAGTGCTCCTCCAAAGACCGACTGTAAATGAGAATGTCGTCGAAGTAAACGACAACACTCTTGCCAATAAAATCCCGCAAGGCCTGGTTCATCACCCGCATAAACGTGCTGGGGGCATTGGACAAACCGAAGGGCATCACCATCCACTCAAAGAGCCCCTCACGAATCTTAAACGCCGTCTTCCATTCATCCCCGGGCCGAATCCGAATCTGGTGGTAGCCACTCCGAAGATCCAGCTTGGTGAAAACAGTGGCACCATGCAGCTGGTCTAACAAATCATCCAGTCGAGGAATGGGAAAGCGATACCGGACCGTAATTTTATTGATGGCGCGGCTATCCACGCACATTCGCCACGAACTGTCCTTCTTCGGAATCAAAAGTGCCGGAACCGCACACGGGCTCAAACTCCGGCGTACCACTCCTCGCTGAAGGAGCTCCTCCACCTGACGCCGCAGCTCCTCATGCTCGCTCGGGCTCATCCGATAGTGAGGCCTGTTCGGCAAAGAAGCCCCAGGAACCAGATCAATATGATGCTGTATGTCGCGAAGTGGTGGCAATCCCGAAGGAATATCCTCCGGAAATACATCTGAGAACTCGGATAAGAGTGGACGGATGGCAGCTGGTGGACATTGTGCATCTCCCGCTTCGACCCCAACCACCAAAAAACAGTACGGCGAGTCACGCAACTCGGCTAGAAAAGCTGTGCGAGAAAGAATAAGAACCGGCGCTGTGGGACTCGACGCTGGCAACGACTCCGGGGCAGTAGGAACCAGAATAATTTTAAGCCCTCCAAAAACAAAAGAATACGTGTTGAGCCGTCCATCATGAGTAGCTGCCCTATCGTACTGCCATGGACGTCCCAACAACAAATGGCAAGCATCCATCGGGACCACATCACACCACAACTGGTCACGATATTTAGTACCAATGGAAAAAGAAACAAGTGCTCGACGATTAACAGTAACTGCCGTACCTTTCTGTATCCATGCAAGAGTGTACGGCTGGGGATGAGGCTCGGTAGCCAATTGCAACTTGTCCACGGCCTCCTGAGATATGACATTTTCGCAAGAGCCGGAGTCAATAATGAAGCGGCACACCTTAGAACCGATCGTGCAAGTGGACAGGAACAAATGGTGGCGCTCCCGTGGTGAATCAGTCGAGCCCCTCGGGGTCAAACATGTGCGACGAAGGACCAGGGCCGTCCCCACGTCACCGTACACATACTCCTCAAGCTCCCCGGTTTCCTCATCGAACACGGCTGGCCCCTCATAACCGCCACCGGAGACAAAATCCCCCAACCCGTCATTGAACAAAGCACGAGGGCCTGCACCCTTCGGACAAACATCCTGCCGATGGCCAATCTCCCCGCACCCGAAACAGCGAAGGTTGGATACCGCACGTGAGGCCGCCGGTGTAAGCTGCTGACCGCTACTCCCCACGTGCCGCTGGTAAGGCCCGCCAGACCCGGTGGGGCGCGCCGTGACCGCTCCAGGACCCGAACCGCCACCAGTCGCAACCACGGGCCGTGGCTGAAACGCCGTGGCGCCCGATGAACCCCCCGGCCGAGAGGCTGAACCGAACATGGGGCCCGATTTTTGGGCCTGCTGAACCTCAACAAGTACAGCCCGTTGGTGAGCATCTGAAATGGAAGCCGGACGAAAGAGATTCAATGTGTCCCGCAGGGAAGAACGTAACCCCCCGACATAACGGGACACCAATTGGTTCTTAGTCTCACGCAATTCAACACGGGTCAAGAGTCGATAAAACTCGGAAGTGTACTCATCCACCGAACGAGAACCCTGCCTTAAATTTTGTAATTGCTGATAAACGAGGCTATCGTAGTTGTAAGGCACGAACTCACGCTCCACATACTTTCGAAATTTCATCCAAGAAGTTAATTCAGGCTTGCCCATACGATGCCGCATGCTCGTCAATTGCATCCACCAAGTTGCTGCCCGTCCCCGAAAACGAGTAGCAACCAACTCCACCCTCCTATCCTCCGGTACCCCTTTAAAACGCAGCACGGCCTCAACCGACGCCCACCACTCAATGAAATCCGACCCATCCACGCCACCAGCAAATTCTGGTATATCAATACGCAGACCGGCGGACCACCGCGAATCATCGGCCCCCTCCAGCGGCCGCCTGCCTTCACGGTTGTGCCGATCAACATGGTCACCTCCCCCGCCACCATCAAAAGCAGCCCGTCGAGGACGATCACGATTCCGCCGTTCCCAGTCACGCCCGTGTTCCCCGTCGTCCTCGAAATCTGAGCCCGAACCCCAGCGTGGTCCGGCGCGTCGCCTGCCCGCAGGTCCATCACCGTGGAACCTGCCAAACCCATCAACAGACTCGCCGCCACTCTCAAGGCCATCGAAATCGCCGGGGCGGAAAACCCTAGCTTCGCGCCTCCGCTCCCCACCGTCTCCAAACCCTCGTTCCCGACGTTCACCCAGGCCGTGGAGGTCCTCCCTCGCAAACGGATTTTCCAGGCTTAGCGTCTCATCATCCTCGTCATCGCCGGACAGAGGTAGCGATTGCCGTCGGCGGGGCGCCCCGCCGCCGCGTCCTCCCCTACCTCCGCGCATCCCGC